CGGCGACTGAAGAAACTAAAGATTTGGATCATTTCTTAGTGACAGAATTAATAGGTTAACTTGAAGCCTATGAGAAAAGACTGAATATGCGTGAAAATGATACAGTTGAAAATGCATTTCAGTCAAAACTAAATTTACGGTCTCAAAATTCTAGAAATTGGGGGGGAGGGGGGGGAAGGGAAGAAGATTTGGAAAAAATAGCAAAAACAAAAATCAAGGTGGAAATAATAATAATTAACAAAAAGAAAAATATCCACCTTGTTGAGTTTTCAAAAAGACCAACCATCTTGAGAAGGATTGTTGGTACCGAGATAAACCACAACGTAAAGATTATGGTAAATTTGGTCATATGGAGGAAAATTTCCGCACCAAAAGATATCAAGCAAATTTCTCTGAATAAAATAATAAACGAGAAAATTTGTTATTCTATTGCAACACATGCAACATCAAAAGAGAAAAATAATATTTGGTTCCTAGATAGCGGCTGCAGCAACCATATGACCGGAGATGAAAAGAAATTTAAAAATATTGATATATCAGTAAAATCACTCGGTTGGGCAATAGAGATCTAGTAGAAGTTGAAGGCAAAGACTCAATTGAGGTCGAGACACAAAAAGATACTCGTCTCGTTGAAGATGTGCTGCTAGTACCAAAACTTGATACGAGTTTACTCAGCGTGGGAAAAATGGTGGAAAGAGGATACACACTACTCTTCAAAGGAAACTCTTGCACTATTTATGACAACAAAAACAATCCCATAGCTGTAGTAAAAATTCAATAACGGAGAAACTTTTCGCTCCGTTGGAAATTCATAGAAGCAGCACTAAAAGCCCAAGAAGACCAATCCTGGTTATGGCACCGAAGGTTCGGGCACTTCAACTTCAACGGGCTAAAGCTACTCCATCATAAAAATATGATGAAAAATCTACCGGCCATCCAAATGAACGACAATATCTGTGAAAAATGCATGGAGGGAAAACAACATAGGAAACATTTCCTTCAAGCCAAGCATGAAGAGCCAAACAAATACTGGAGCTGGTACATACAGACGTGTGTGGACCAATGAGCACGCCAACCTTCACAAAGAACAAGAACTTCATTCCCTTTATTGATGACTATACAAGAATGACTTAGGTGTACTTCATGAAAGAAAGGTCCGAAGTCTTCTCTATTTTCCAGAAATTTAAAAGCCTCATCGAAAATCAAAGTGGAAGAAGAATTAAAGTACTTCGGGGTGATCGAGGAACATAATACACATCCAAGTAGTTCAACAAGTTCTTCGAGGATGAAGGAGTCATCCATCAGCTAACTGTCGGTTATGCTCCAAAGCAAAATGGTGTGTCAGAAAGGAAAAACAGAACCGTACAAGAGACAGCCAGGACAACGCTCGTGGAGAAGAACATGCCAAAAGAATTTTGGGCAGAAGCTATATACACTGTCGTCTATCTACTCAACAGGTGTCCTACTAAAGCTGTCCAAAATAAAACTCCAATAGAAGCTTGGAGTGGACGAAAACCGTTAGCCCAACATCTACGAGTGTGTGGGAATATCTTCCATGTGCATATCTTAAAAGAAAAGAGGCACAAACTGGAGGAGAAATCTAAAAAATGCATATTTCTCAGCTATGCATCTCAATCTAAAGAAATACAAAACTTACATCCTCAAGACTGGTAAACTAATTATCAGTCGAGATGTCGAGTTCGATGAAAATGCTGCATGGAACTGGGAAAAAGAAAAAGTCGAATACCAAAAAATCATGGTACATGCATCACGGAGGCAAAATACCATACCAGAAGAGCATGAAGATGAAGCAGAAGGTACACAATCACCTCCAGCTCCACAACCTTCAAGTCCGAGGACAACATCACCATCAACTGATGAACAGTCATCCCCATGATCACCATTGAGAAAAGTACAAACACTCAGGGAGATCTACGAGACATGCAATTTTGCCACGATGGAACCTGAAAGCTTTGAAGCAGTAGTAAAGGAAAAAAAATGGGTAAAAGTCATGGAGGAAGAAATCAGGATGATCGAGAAGAATAAAACTTGGGAGTTGGTCGATCAACCAAACAACAAGGAAGTCATTGGAGTTAAGTGGGTCTACAAGATGAAGCTTAACCCAGATGGATCAATCCAAAAACATAAAGCATGACTGGTCGCTAAAGGATACTCATAACTTCCAGGGATAGACTACAACGAGACCTTCGCACCAGTTGCTCGGCTAGATACTATAAGGGCTCTAATCGCACTTGCAGCTCAGAAAAAATGGAGAATCTACTAGCTTGATGTCAAGTCAGCATTTCTCAATGGCTACCTGGACGAGGAGATCTATGTCGAACAACCTCAAGGGTTCGTGGCAGAAGGACAACAAAATGAAGTCCTAAAACTAAATAAAGCGCTTTACGGATTGAAACAAGCTCCCCGAGCCTGGTACAACCGAATTGATGACTCCTTCACTAGTCATGGATTAAAAAAAGCGAAATAGAGCCAACACTGTACATCAAGACCCAAGGTAATGACAACAAACTCATTGTCTCTCTTTATGTAGATGATCTTATTTATACAGGAAACAATGAGAAGATGATTAAGGAGTTCAAAGAAGATATGATGAAGACCTTTGAGATGACAGACCTTGGGCAAATGAGCTATTTTCTCGGCATTTAGGTAATCCCAGGAATAAAATGGGATACTTATCTCACAGAGAAAATACACAGATAATCTACTAAAAATGTTCAAAATGGACGGCTGTAAACCTGTGGCTACTCCCATGGTAGCGAACGAAAAATTCAGAAAAGATGACGGTACGCCAAATGCAGACGCATCCACATATAGAAGCCTGATTGGAAGTCTATTATATCTAACAGCCACAAAACCAGATATCATGTATGCAACAAGTCTACTATCAAGGTTCATGTAAAGTCCAAGCCAAGTTCACTATGGAGCTGCGAAGAGAATACTGCGATACTTGCAGGGTATTAATGACTACGAAATCCAATACGAATATAACGAAGACTCAAGACTGGTCGGCTACACAAATAGTGACTGGGCTGGATCAACTGATGACATGAAAAAACACCTCAGGCTATACATTTTTACTTGGCTCAGGCATATTCTCGTGGTCATTTAAAAAGCAAGACTGTGTGACGCAATCATCAGCAGAGGCCGAGTACGTCGCAGCAACACTAACGACAAGTCAAGCTATTTGGCTTAGACGTATTCTTGGATACATGGGAGAACACCAAGAAAGTCCAATGGAGATATACTGCGACAATAAGTCAGCGATAGCAATGACGAAAAATCCCGTACATCACAGCAGGACCAAACACATTGCTATAAAATATCACTTTCTATGTGAAGCAACTAATGACAAGCAGATAGAGCTCACGTATGTCTCCTCTGAAGATCAACTTGCAGATATTTTCACAAAAGGTTTACCGAGACCAAGATTCGAGACTCGAAAAACTTGGAATTATCCAAATGAGTATTAAGGGGGAGTGTTAAAATAATTAATACTCATTTAAGAAGTTAGTTGAAAGTTATTAGAAAATAGTTAGTTGTTATAATAATACTCATTCGTTGGCAGTTTGAAATAATGCAAAATTAGGTGGCAGTTGAAGTTGTATCTCTTTTGCTACCTATATA